CAGCCAACGACTCGCTCCGACACATTGTTTTGTCACCAGTGGTATCGGCGCCGTCTTTGGCGATATCCGCGATCTCTGATAATGTGTTACTCCGGGGTCTGAAGTGTAGGGGAGAGTCGTCGGTATTGGAGGACAGGTCGTCGACCGGCGCCGACCGTTGAGAATAACTCGGAGATGAACTGATACTCTCGTTAGACCCGTTTCGACTCAACTGTGGACAGGGAGGGAAGGGGTGAAAGAATAGTTTTGATGAATAATTAATTTAACAAAAATTTTGATAAAATAGAGACAAAACATTGACCTTGTTAAATTAATTTTTGTGTACATTATATTAGTAATTAACTGTTGGTTAGTATAACACATATAAATGGACTGTTAGTACAGTATACTATTTATTAGTGGTTATGAACGACTAATTAGACATTTCTTACACTATTGGCAAATATCATGCGATTATTCCTAAGCCTTAGTCTACTTAAAATACTCGTATCCATAGTCTCCGATCGGTGCCGGCGCTTCTGTTTAGCTACCGGTGACTAAACCACAAGAATATTCATGCGTTAATTAATCATTATAAAGTGCAATTTATAAACCAAAAGTTTTAGCATTAAAATAAAATGAAATTATTATGATGTGATTCACTCAGTACGTACAAACAGAAGCTTATAAAAACTATTATTAACTACTTCTAATTATTTTAGTTATTAATAATTAATTATAACTTATATCATTTATAACCGGTATACGTACTAATTGAAACTCCATAATAACTTTATGCAGTACCAGAATATACGGTACAATCAATGGGACATACCTTAAAAATCGACTCAAACGTGTTGGACAGGGAGTTACGAGCCTTCTCTTTGAATGTATCCAACGAGTGAACGGACAGTCGTTTTTCCAACAACGATGACTTATCCTGACTGCCGGTCCCACCGCTCGGGTGTTGATGTCGGCGCTGTTTGCGTTCGCACAGCACCTTCAGCGCCGACATTAACAGCTCGTTTTGCTCGTGAATGGAAAGGGAGTTCCGTTGCTTACCTCCAACCACCCCCGGAGGAGTCGCCAAACGTTCACACTCGTCCCTGTCCCGCACCGGTAGCCCTTCCAGGCGGTTAACGATTATTGCGTGCGCCCTGTCGCCTGACAGCCCCTCCATGTCGGCGCACAACCGGTGAAACCAATGCATGGGACAGGTGTCGCATATGTAGGGCGTCCGCTGTTTGGAGGACTGGTATGCGTTACTGAACGCCTGTTTCAACGAATGCATTATTTCGGACACCAGGCGCTCCGACTGACACATAAACACGTGTATGACATACGACTCCGGGGTGTTTAGCGCCGGTTCACGACATATGATACCGAAGTGGTCAGAGTTGGCCACACCTTGAGAGCAGTG